GACCCCTTTAAAGCTGCTGAAAATGATTCGCTTTTTCAGTATTACAAACAAAATGTCCTTGTTATCTGACAGGAGTCACTGATGTAGGAGTCCTCAAAATCACACTGTGTGATTTTTTTTTAGGTCATTCTTTCAGATTTCTTTGAAGTATCAACTTTGGCTGAGATCTTTCTCCTAAATTGCTTAGAGAAGAATACAGAAAAAAAAAAACACAAGTGAACTGACTTCCTTTAAATGGACACACGTTAGCCAATCAGAAAACTTGTGGCGCTTTACCTGCCAGTCATTTTGCGTGTACAAGTATTTAGGGGGTGGGTTGTGGAAACAGAATAGGCCTATGTAGTAATCTAATTCACTTAACACTGGCAGAAAGCAGCAGGACGACTAAAGTCACTTACAGCAGCTTTAACTTGCTCAAACAAATACCACAAAAATAAGATACTTTTGAAATATTTTTATTGAACACTTGCCCTGGTAATTGCTGGGTCCTGTGTGTTCAATAAAGACATAAAAAGTATTTATTCTAGGTGTTTTGTTTAATCAGAGTTGGTTTATAATTAGATGTACAACCTAACAAGCATTTGAACCTTGTTTTGTCATTTATTTGTTACTATGTACATAAATATCCTATTTATGTACTTCAAAAATATATATATATATTTCTATTAAAGGTGCACTTAGTATTTTTTTTGTTTGCTTTGCTGGCTGATATGACAGTGTTATTGGTTCTTGGCAACATCATGCAAATATTTTCAGTTACCAGTGTCATTATTAAAATGTGCTATCATCTTGTCTGGATGGCCAAATACTGTTGGGGTTTAGGGCTTCAGTTTTATTATTTTTATGCTCTTCCTGTCTTTTTTTTTTAATGGAATTTACGCACGACTGTTTTGTTTGAAGGCCCAGGATGCAGAAAATGCCTTGTTCAAAGTGCATCAAAGAGTTTGTTGAACAAATGTAATCATGATGTTGTCGCATTAAGAACATCTTTCAGATGATGATCAAGACCATCAGCATGCAATACACATTGGTTTGAAAATGTTGAATTGAGATAAGCAGGACATGGGCTCTGCTCTCTCAGGATGGCATGGTTGACATCCAGAAGCAAAGGCAATGCAGTGAATGGTGTTTTGATGTGGAGTAAAAATGAAATGATGTGATGTGTTTCTCTGTAGCATTGGGTCTGAGTGTATGTTCAATGAATGAGAGAGTCTGATGTTAGGGAAGAATGGCATATTCCCAGTTTAATAATGCAAGCTCAATCACCAGCATCCAAAAAAGAATTTATTTGATAATGGAATTTTATTATTATTATTTTTTTTTTACAACTCTCTGGAATGCCTTGCTTTTAAGTTTATTACAACATATTTAAATCATTTTTTTCTAAAAGAAAATTATTTATTTTCTAGATAATCTAGATGCTTTGCAAATCAGAAAACAAAAAAGTTGTCTTGCAAAAAAATTTTTCTCATAATTTGGTAGCATTAGATTGATTAAATACTGCTGATGCTTTTTGAAGATAACTAAATTAATAAAATTATGTTTAATCCATACACTTTTCAAGTTGTTTAACAACTCAGTTATGTAGTACTAACTGTTTTTTTTGCAGATCCGTATTATCTACCTGTAAGAGCCAGACTATTCCAAAACAATGAATAAAACTCTTGAATTATGGAATTATGGCTAAACACGTTATACAGGAAGCATTTATAGCACATCTAGGGACAATATGCAATTAACTGTGTGATTGCTGTCATTCACAGGAAGACTAGTGCTCTGAAGCTGAGGATTTTGGACCTGGATTTTCCCACACAGGTAATACAAGTGTTTTTTCCTGTCTTCTCTGCCACTTGGTGGCGGTGTAGGATACCATTTGGTAGAGTATTAAACACAAGCATCCAGGACTGAAGATATCAGTTAGCCTGGTGAATCAAGGACAGCTGATTGCTCAAAAGAAAAATCCTGTCAGCAATGGCTCGCTTATGTACCGTCAATTTAATTTATCCTTTTAAGATAGAAGAGTTGATTGAGTACTATGAAAAGCTACTGTAACTTTAATAGCGTCAATCTTTATTGATACTAAGTATATTAATTCATGAAATTCAGTGTTCAGAAATCTGGCCCTCACAGTCACTGTGAATAACATAAGATCTATCGATATGAGTTATATCTTCCAGTATGAAAAGAGGCAGAGAGACATTAGAGTATAGCACCGGCAGGTTGCAGTCAAATGGTAATTTTCTTCCAAATATGTTTTTTTATTTTTATGTTTTAATTATTGTTATATTTATAGAATATTAACAATATTATGTGTATATATTTACATTACTGTACAGTAATGCCCTGACAATGAATTCCTAGCAGGCAAGCGGGTTGAACCATAAATAAATGCATAGACATGCAGGTTGTGAAGTCATAAATATTAATTATGTATCAATAATTTAACATGTGCTTTTACTGTTTTGATGAATTGTCTTTGTGATGTATTGATGAAATGGACAACACGCAATATCATGACGACTAGAAAAGTTCAAAAATCTTGTAACCAGCAATTTTTAAAAGTACAATGAGATGTTAATTTTGTATAATGTCTCATTACACTGTGATTTGAGGAGAGAAGAATTTCTTGTTGACCAAATGTGAAATATTTTATTTGATGCATATTTCTGCCGCAGTCCGTCGCAGGGTTTTATAGGTTAGTGAATAAACGCATGGATCAGCGTTCGAATGTCAAGCATGATTTGTTGGTCCGGCATTAATCTTTTTGCACTGAAGGTTCTGGGTTCTGACCCGCTATAAAATAACTTTTTGTAATAAACCAAAGGTTTACGTCAGTGAATGTCAAGGGTGGCGACACATTTGTTAGGATTTAGTTTTGTGATTTCATAAGAACAGATAGATACATCTAAAAGCTGCGAGAGAAATTGCGGACACTAATAACAAGTGGAACGTCAACTCAGCAAAACAATAAAAATGACACACACTAAGGAAATGAATATCTTCTCTACAATTGAAGATGATTTTTACGTATTAGATTTTTACACCCTGCCACAAGCTATTTCATAAAGTGCTGAGGACAAAATTGGCCGTGGTGGTGATTCACACTATAAATGATTTAAACTCGTTTTTATTGTAAGCATATTATTATAAACACATTTTCCATTTTTTTCTGTTATTTTGTGCTTTACATTTCAGCTTGAAGTGACACCCCACTTGCCCTGGAGCCATCAAAAATCGCCCACAAAAACCTTCACCGCAGCTTTGCCCAAGCCAAATGTGACACCACTGCACTGGAGAATATGCACTCAGGACCCCAACTTCAAGCCCCCATGAAAACTGTGCCTTTTTGAGGTTGCAAAATGCCTTTTTATGCTAGAGTTGCTTCATCTTAAGTGGCAAGTTTCATGTGAATTTAAAGGGATGTGTTTTTCTTACTGTACATATAGAAACTAGCTTATTGTACTACTTTTAAAACGAATATTTTGTGACTTTGTTCTATAGAATCCCAAATAGTTGTGCCAAACCACTCAAATGTGCCAAACTAATACTTACAAATACTTCTCTGTGTGTCTTATATTGTACAGTACAGTACACTACCAGTCATATTTTGGACATACTTTGCCACAGTGCTAAATGCTAAAAATAGACTGAACTCATAGGAAATTAATAGTTATAAACTTTCAGATGGTTGGAGGAAAATCCCATATGTTGTGTTGTGAAAGACTGTGTGTTCGATCAAATTCGTCAAGCTAAGCTAGCCATAAGATATCTGTTGTAGATGCTAACATGAGCAGGTACTTGATATCCCCTTCTTATCGAAAACTATGAACAAAACAAGGTTTGTTTTTGCTAATACCATGAAACTTGACAAAATTGGACAGAATTCAATTTAAAAAGCCAATATTATCCATCATATTTGTAACCATTATTTAGCATATTGTTGAGCCTATACAGCTCATGGTAATTTTAATAATATGAAATGTCTGATTGTCTTACAGAATGATTGGTAATTGCCTAAACAGGTTTAGCTAATTGCATATGAAATGAGGAAAGTTTTTTGTTTACTTTTAATACAATAAATTAGTGCTGTTAAACGATTAATCGCAATTAATCGCATCCCAAATAAAATATTTATATTTAATATCTAAACATATTTTTCTTAAATATATACATGCATGTGTGTATTTGTATAAACATAATAAATATACACAGTACACACAAATATATTATGTAAACAAAAACTTTTATTTTGGATGCGATTAATCGCGATTAATCGTCTGACTCGCACTAATAAAAACACAAACACTATGCAAAGTTTAAAATGTGCACCCTCAGACAAAAAAACAAACAAACTTCGAAAATACATTAAGCTACAACATAATAGTTTTGATTTGTTTGAGCCTGAGCCTGAGTCGATGTGTCCAAAACTCGTACTGTACTGTACTTCACTGGTCTTGTACATGCATAAATACTTCAATTAGACTACACAACATGGTTCTAGGATGTAGAATTGTAGTTACAACCACAGTGAAGTTGAAGTTAAAATTAGACAGAAACACTGTGAAAGGACATCAGTCACAATTCCCTTCTTCAGTCTATTGTATCTGATTTCAGTCTGAATATGTGACGTCAGTACCTGCTGGAAGCTATTCTCAGCTGTCGGTTGGCCATTCTAATGCACTTTGTACGCAGACAGAAATGAATGGTTGGAAATACCCTGATTTATCAATAAAGAGTGAGTTTTACAGGCGCTGTCTGCTTCATTATGTTCTATTCTTGACACATTGTGTATATTTAAAGAGCAGAAATGTTCTACCAGGGTGGTGCCAATTCAACAAACAGGATGTGACCTTAAAGAGAGTCCCTAGAGATAGTGAATGGAAGACAAGGAGTGGGCCTCACATGTTGACTTCACAATAGCAGCAAATTTCAGACATTATTTTAGGCCATCACTAAAATATTCACCACAGCCTGTGAGTCACTGGTGGATATTTGCAGTGGTCAGTTCAAGGCTAAAAAGGCTGTTTTGCTTTCAGTAATATTTAACTGGCTGGTTTCGGCCACATCCCACAGTGGCCAGAAAACTGCTACTATATTGACTGTGGGAAACATGAGTTCTGTTCAACCTCTCTGGAATGCTGTATAAGCCATCCTGGAATACTCGAGGTAAGAATACAGCAGCAGGATTTGTAATTCAGATGACGCTTTTGGTACATATACGATAAATTCTTTAATAAGTGAGACAAATGTTGGGCCATAAGTGTAAATGGTGACTCAACATTTTAAGGTCAAACAGTATTTTGTTCATATGTTGTCATGAATTAGCTTATATTGTTACTGTGTTAGCAGTAGATTCAGGTCATATTTCACCTAAACTCAAAAGAGAAAAAGAATTGATATTTTGCAAAAATAAAAAATATATATATATATTTTTTGTTTTCTTATTAGTGACATTATTTTCATGACACACATTCTTAACAGATTTATTTCCACACATTGTGTGATCATTAAAAAAAAAAAGTTTTATTATACTTACAAAATAGTTTTATTAATGTCCATATTTAGGTTATACACTTATATGAATGCTGAATGGAAAGTGTATATTTAGGCCCTATAACTTGGTCACCATTTCTAATTTTAGTTTATTAAATCATATTTATTTAAAACTCAAAAGAGAAAAAGAATTGATATTTTGCAAAAATAAAAAAAAAATATATATATTTTTTGTTTTCTTATTAGTGACATTATTTTCATGACACACATTCTTAACAGATTTGTTTCCACACATTGTGTGATCATTAAAAAAAAAAAGTTTTATTATACTTACAAAATAGTTTTATTAATGTCCATATTTAGGTTATACACTTATATGAATGCTGAATGGAAAGTGTATATTTAGGCCCTATAACTTGGTCACCATTTCTAATTTTAGTTTATTAAATCATATTTATTTATTTATTGCCTGAGGTCCAGCCGCGTGACAAATATATTTTTAGGTACAAATATTTCGCATAGTTTCTCAGTTAACATGAGCTCATAGAAAAATTACATTCACAAAATAGTAATAATTTTGAATTTCGGAAGTTTTAGCTGGAGCATCAGTCAACATGCTTTTCAGAGGTATTTCATGCCAACTACCAGTTGTACATCAGGCAGCATTTCATACTGGCTTTAATTTTTCATTGTGTCCAGACAGGATAATTTTGTAATGTGAATCATATTTAACGCATAATGTATACCATACATATATCTTAAAGTTTCATGGTATCACTTTAGCAATTTTTTCCCTTTCAATACATAAATGTAATACCATAAGACATACGTAATTCAATCAAATTAATTTGGTTATTTAAATAGTATGACAAACATACTCATCTGGACCATATTTCACAACACTTTAACGTAGGCTGTTTCATGTGTGACTGCACCGTTCTCATGTGTGTAGCTGATGTTGTAAACAAGGTTAAAAGTTTCTACAATTTTATATAATGTGGCAATTGCAAATATTTTCTCTACTGTGTCCTTGCTGTGCAGAACAATGGCCTGACTGTTTCTCTGGCAATATGCATGGCCACATCCTCCAGCTGTGTGTAATCCAAGGTGAGTGTGTCATCTGCTAAGTAAAGGCTTGTGTGTTTATCCAACTACACGACTTTGCTTCCAAGAAAAATTGCTGTAGGATTAAAGTGGAATGTATGTTAATACAGATTATTACACGGCTCGTATTGTCTGACTTCAAAAGGCTCAAACCAGTTTGTTAGGAACTGTTTTTCTTCGCGGAAGCTTTGCGTAAGAGCTAATAAAATATTTCAACTCAAGTCAATATTTTGTGTCTAATTTACTTGAGACAAGTAGCCGTGTAATAAGCTCTAAATGTACATCCAGCCGGTTATCTCAAAATAAACCCCTTCAGGCTGATACAAGACCCCTCCACTTTGCGTCGGGGTCCTGATCACCCTGTCGGGGTTTATTCTGAGATAACAACCGGCTGGATGTACATTATCCCTTACATATCACTTGGCTTACCTGAAGACTGGAGCAATGGCTGCTGACAATTCAGTTTTTTTTTTAATCACAGGAATAAAGTACATTTTAAAATATATTCAAATATAAAAAAGGTTATTTTCAATTGTAAAGTTTCTCAAAACACGTTTTTGTATTTTTTGATCAAATAAATGCAGCCTTGGTGAACATAAGAGGCTTATTTGAATTTAAACAGTACAGAACACATTTAGAACATTTAAAAAATAACATATGATGAAATCAGAAATGGAAAAGGTGTTTATTAAAGAAGATGGATGAAATGCATCTTCTAATTCTTTAATAAAGTAATACACCTTAACACAAAGAATGTGTGTCATGTCAGAAAACATCACAGACTCCATTGTCTACCGTTTATTCAGTTATGTGTCTCCTCTTCACAGCTGTAGCCTCTTTTATCCATCTAGAACCTAAGAACGCTACTGTGTTACGAGGTAGTGAGGTCCACTTTAACTGCAGCACCGATGAATCCTGGGATGTCATGACGTGGCTGTTGGGTGGAAGGACAATCCTCATTATTTCGGTGGAACATGGTCCTCTGGGCAGAGATGAGAGTGTGTCCACAGTCAATCACTCAGTCATGTCATCTCTGTCAGTGTGGGAGTTAGTTCTGTTGAACGCTTCCTTCAGCCCCACTGTACAGGAAGTCACGTGTGAACTGCTGCCAACCAAACTCGGCAGATCATCATCAGCTCTGTTTGTACAAGGTAAGCAAGCTTTTGTAAAGCACACCTTAAATATTTGCAAATCAATTATTAGTGTCATTCTCAGGAAACTATCAAATTTAAACCTTTTTATGATTTATATTTTATATGAATTATTACTTAATCTGAAGGTAAGTGGGATTAAACTCAGGTTTGCTTTTTTATTTTATTAACTGAATCTGGGCAGTTAATTTTTAGCTCCTTTGAAACAGGCCCAGATGGTATTAGATAACTTTTTTTGCTTCAATAAAAACATATTTACATAACATAACAACATAATAGTGCTGTACCTGCCATAGACACTGTCGGGTCAAACATATGAGAATGTACCACCATCAATATTCAGATTAGTAATCAACAAATATGTTTTTTTTTCTCCCCCCAGAGGTTCTATTATCTCAAATCATCAATATATCACAAATCCAAAAGCACTGTATTTTAATAGTAAATTCAGGTAATATCACTCATTTCCCTCCCATACTATTGTTCAGTCTTTTTAATGTGTTTTCAATTTGATTTTCGCTTTGAAATTTAAATAACATTTAACAAGAAGTGCAAACACTTATCAGTGCAGCTTGTGAATTTGGTACCACACAGTTTTTTCTTACAATTTTAAGAAAATATTTAGTAAATTTAAGATTAGTGTGTTGCATTTTTGTGGCGTTGAACGGCACGCAAGTCTGACATTTCTATGAATAACTAACATTAAAATGTTTTATTTGTACATCGCACAGTAAGCAGAGTTATGGATACTGACACCATTCCCCAAGAATGACTCGTGTCAACATGAATAAAATGTTTTTCTCTAAGAATGAGCAAAAACCAGTCTCCACCAACCATTCAACGACTATTTTGCTCCATAATAATGAAATCAAGATAATCTTGCTCACACATTGGTGACATAAAGGCCAGAGCCTTCCGCATGCAGAAGAGCTGTCGGTTTTTATACGAGATGGCTGATTTAGGGGTAAGCATCGACTAAGGTGTTTTTCATGCAGGGGAATTCATTTGCTGCTGGCCGGAGTAAAGACTGCTGCTCTGGCAGTTTTGACGGAGCATATGACATTGTCGATGAGAGCAAGGGCTCCTGGGATGGGAATCGATTGGCAGCCATTAAAAATGCCTACTGCAAAGCCACTCTACCAGGCAGTAAACAGAGACAGAAAGCACAGCTCGACTCTAATCTTGGATTCAGTGGCCATCAGCATCCATCTGGTCCACTCATTTCTCACTCTAACTTGTCACTCTTATGGGAACCAAAAATGACATTCATATTGCTTTTTACTGCTATTGGAACAGACTTCTACTCTCAGTTCTTAAGTTCTTTAATAAAATAAGCCAATATTTTTAAGTGTTCACACAATTTGTTCACACAAAAATATTATATTATATTACATTATATTATATTACATTACATTACATTACATTACATTACATTATTTTATTTTTGTAGCAAGGTATATTGAAACAGTAAGGAGGAGGCAGGAAATAAACAGACTTTTAATTATAAAAAAACAAAAAACAAAAATGGAAGCAGCAGCTGCCTCACGCCCATCTCACACACACAAAACATAAATTGTCCCAGGACTGGTCCTCTCTTGCCCTCCACATCCTTTCGCGGCTCCTCCGTGGAACTCAAGACCGGTGTGGTGCTCATTATCACTCGTGCCACTGGTATCCCTCTGTTTCCACGGCTCTTGGCCCCACCCTGCTTGCCACACACCCCTACTGCCTGGGGACAGGGCCAACATGGAGATCCTGGCACCTTGGGGGTAAGGACAGAACAGGTGAGAGAAAGAAGACAGAAGAGAAGAGACCGGCTCCTGGACACATTGCCACTTGGTCCTCCATCAGCTAAGAGGCCCACACTTGCAATGTGATGCGGTGGTACAGGATATCACTTGGTGGATGGCTTCACTCCTCCACCTGGACAGCAACCTTCTATCGCATTATAGTCTTTCCTGTTGGCTGCGTTCTCAAAACTCTGGCCATTTGATAATACCTAGAATATCAAAATCAACTGCGGGCGGCAGATCCTTTTCCTGTTTAGCTCCCAAACTCTGGAACAATCTACCTAACACTGTTCGGGAGGCAGACACACTCTGTTAGTTTAAATCTAGATTTAGATAAGACCCATTTCTTTAACCTAGCTTACACATAACACACTAACACAATTCTAATATTCAAATCTGTCAAAGGAATGTTAGGCTGCATTAATCAGGTCATCCGGAACCGGGAACACTTCCCATAACACCAAATGTACTTGTTACATCATAAAAAGAATGGCATCTACGCTAATATTAGCCACCAGATCCAGACTGTATCCAGATCAGATGGTCACTGCAGTCACCCGGATCCAGTCCGTATGCAGTCCAGATAGTGGATCAGCACCTAGAGATGACCTTGACAGCCCTGAATGTCAGCAGAGACCAGGACAACTAGATGAGCCTCCAGAGACAGATCCTCAGTGAAGACATCGTCACCTAGACGGCCATCAGGACAATACCACGGGAACCAGATGAGTCCTCTGCACAATTTGACTGTGTTGCAGCCTGAAATTAAACTGCTGGTTTCGTCTGGCCAGAGGAGAACGATGGAGTTTTGGTTCCTTCGACACACTATTTTCCTGTTTAATACTGTAAAGCTGCTTTGACACAATCTGTATTGTAAAAAGTGCTATATAAATAATCGTAACAAAACAAAACAATGGTTCCTCTATCTTTGGCCAGCCAACAGCGAGCCCCCCCCCATTCTTTTGTTGTCGCTGGTTCTCCATGATGGTGGATGGCAACAGGCCCTGGCTTCTTGTGAATGACGGCAACACCTCTGACCCCTTGCAAACAGCAGCTACCTTTCCACAATCCAGCAGACCGCAGTGAGCCCATTAGTCCCTTCTGGGCAAGTCGTTCCTGCACCACCGCAATGAGCAGAAATAGGTAGTAGTCACCACCAGCCCATCCTCCTGGGCACTGTGTTTCCCCTCAGCAGCGAGAGCTCTTTGACAGCATGTTCTTCCTTAGAGGGGCAGTTGTGGCCTAATGGTTAAAGAGTCAGACTTGTAACCCAAAGGTTGCGGGTTCGAGTGTCAGAACCGACAGGAAATGTAGGTGGGAGGAGTGAATGAATAGCACTCTTTTTTTACGGCTTCAGTACCCACAACTGAGGTGCCTTTGAGCAAGGTGAGCAAATGGGGGTTCCCTCTGCTCCAGGTGTGTGTTCAATACTCACTGCTGTGTGTGTGCACTTGGTTGGGTTACCAAACGTGGCTACATGTCACGTTGCTTTTACTCCTTCCTACTGGGTTTCAGCAACAATGTAGCAGCGATTCTTAATACAAGAAGAAGGAGGTGGGTACTGGCTCAAAGTAAACAGACTTTTAATTATAAAATAAACCAAAAGGGAAGCAGCGACCACGCCACAGCCAACTGCTGCACACACAAAACATCAAATATCCCAGGCCTGACTCTCTATCTCCCTCCGCTGTCGTCACTCCTCCTTACATCCTTCCGGAGCTCCTCTGTGGAACTTGAGACCAGTGTTGCATGTAGGTGTCACTCATGCAATCTCACATTAAATATTTGCATTCTCTTGCAAAAGCATTGCGTTTTAACAAGATACTTGGTAGCAAAACATTTGTGCTCTCTTGCAAAACTATTTCATGTTCCCAAGATACTTTTGCACTCACTCGTAAAACATTTGCGTTCTCTCGCAAAACTATTGCGTTCCACTCTCACAAAACTATTGCCTTTCCACAAGATTCTTTGTGCTCATATGCATGCGTTCTCTTGCAAAGCTATTTAATTTCTCAGAGATACTTTGCTCTCACTTGTAAAATATTTGCGCTCTTTCAAAACACTATTGCATTTCTACAAGATACTTTGTGCTTGCTCACAAAACATTTGTGTTCTCAAACTGCCCTGTGCAAAAATCCAGCATATGCTGGTTAGGTATGTTTTGGTTTTAGGTATGCTGGTTTAAGCTGGTCCTTAGCTGGTCATGAGCTGGTTTAAGCTGGTTCTTAGCTGGTCATGTGCTGGTCCTAAGCAACTAGCTCCTGCTCAGGACCATTTTAGTACCAGCACATGACCAGCTTATGACCAGCTAAGAACTAGCTTAAACCAGCTCATGACCATCTTAAACCAGCTAAGAACCAGCTTAAACCAACTCAAACCAGCAGCCATGCTTCAAAACATACCTAACCAGCATATGCTGGATTTTTCAACA